TTGTAACTAAATGGTTTCCTTGTATCCATTACGGTTTCCTTGAAGCTAGTCTATTTCAATTACAGATCTAATATCTATTTTTATTTAACTGATCTTTGGATGGTACAGTAAAATGGATGGGAACTTTTCGAAATGGACTACTAGAGACTGTTATAATGGGACATTTAGGTGTCCACCCATTTTATTTTATGCAGAGATATATGGTACTGTGATATAGCTGTAATTTAATTAAATAAAGTTAACTTTGGGCAATATCTATTGAGAGTTTAACAGAGTATTATTATAAACTTTGTTTTGATTTCAGCTTTTGCCTTAGACTGTCTAAGCTAGACACCCTGACGTCTATCAGGCAGTCAATTCAACTCAAACGACTCTATCGTCTGCTGTGCGTACAGGGTATATTTATTGTTTCTCTTATGTATATGTGTAATTTGCTTAGAATCGGAATCCAAATCCAAGTGCGATTGCTTTTGCGATTTCAATTTCGAGTTTTGAAAGTGTTGTTTGACCCTGAAACTGAATCTGAAACTGAATGCTCAGCCAGCTCAATCTCTCAGCTTCTCAGTCTCGACTGGAGCGGAACGTGAAGCTGCACATGTTTGACCCTAATTTGTTGTGGCTGCTCGCAGTCAGCGCTGGGGTTATTCAACCGCTGATGTCAGCTGATGCGGAAGCAGCTCTCCACCCGGGGGGCTGTGGCCGAGGGAACAGCTGGGCTCTGGCTGGGCTTGTATTTCGATTGCCTTGAACTTAAGCGCGTAGGCGGCACAGGTGCGTGGCTCAATATGTCTTTGTGGTAATTACATTGGCTGACTCTTGGCTTGGCTTCATATCTAGGGTGTGGTCTAACAAATCGGTGTTTATTTGTTGGCCCTGTCGAATTCGATATTTAATGAATAGTGATTTGTAGATGCATATTTAAGAGATATTATTCAAATACCACTATATATGGCTGCATTGTTAGCATGGGATTAACAGCGAAACCGCTCGCATGGTTTTGTGGTATTAAATATATTTAGCTTTGATTAGATAGTAATGTGGTGAATCAAATTATATGTTTACATTTTGCCATCTTTTCATTAGTTTGAATCATTCGCTCTGATCATGTACAAATTTAAATGTACACTATAAGTAATCTGATCGAAAATTTTCTCTCTTACATTTGAAATTGCCAAATCATGTGCATAGAAATGGGAGAATTTTAGGTAAGATAAAAACTTTGTGTTCTTGATTAAAGTCATATTACAAATCATTTCATTGACATTTTACATGTCCTGTTTATAACTACTAAACGCCAACATTTCTTTCTAATTACATCATAATATGTAATTAGCATTTCCATCACCCATAACAGCCCACTTAAATATAATATTTTCAGAT